GCCTTTCCTTTGTCCTTGTAATAAAAGCATTTGTGAAGAAATTCACACTGCACATGCCATCTGGCATCGCTGGAACGAAATATGAGTGCACCCTAATTAAAATCGTAAAATTTCTGACAATGGGCACCGCCATTCACTCCAACTATCACCCCTGCACCGCTGACCCTCATTCCAAAAGAATGTGCTGGTTGGGCGACATAACAGGTTACCGCTACTGTTTATTCCAAAAACATTGTGCGTCTTTCGGTATTAATTTATCTCTAAACCCAGCATTTTAAATTCTCAGGAACGATCATTGCGGGAAAATTGTGGGCCGGGACTACGATTTTTGAACGATCGATGCGATAAAACGATAGTTCGAGGAACGATAGAAGCGGGAAAATGTAACATTATTTTATATGGGATGTATTCGGGACCGAACAAAACGGACGATGCATCCGGGAAAACGATAGTTCCGGGAACGATGGATAGAGGTTTCACTGTAGATAGATTTGGTTGGTAGACGTCCACATGGGAGAAGAATATCAGATACATTGTATAAAAAAAACAATATCATGATTATGGAAGGTACAGATCTTAAGAGTGAATATGCAGACAATTTTGCCATCACTGGTGCAATTTGCAAAGTTCAAATCCTGTCCTAATGTCTCTTGTTCATGAAAGTTCTATTGTTCTGATTATTTCCATTCATTTGGCTTGGATTGTAGAATCTTACAGTTTATCTTGCTTTAATACAATAATTTTGAACATTTTTCATCAAATCATGGTTTATGCTGCTTCATTTCATAATTGTCTAGACTCTCTTTGGTTGAAATTTTATACTTTTTAAAACCCTATTATATGGATAACATTGTCATTTTTTAAGGTTGTTCCATAGAATTATTTCAAGTCTGATGCCTTGTGTAACATTTTATAGTGTGCTGTTTTTTTACAGCAATAGGTTGTTATTCCTCTGCCGAACTGTTCGCTGGAGGACAACCATTTGTTGGATGTTCACAATTGATTATAAAATATGTTCATAGTACCCTCCATATCTGGAGGCCTTCTCCTCCATCTGCAACCTGTGGATGCTGTGTCATGGTGACAAAGGGCCCAGTTAATGTCATGATGTGATTGGTTAGTCAATTCTAAAAAATAAAGGATTAAGATGTAAGTTTAGATAAAATAAGAACTTATTTTTGCTTTTGTGATATTCTGAAAGTGGATAGAAATTTAATATTTCATTGGAAGTAAATATATACTGTGATGTCATCATCTACTGACTGAGTTCTACATCATTGAAGGCACCATTACTCACCTGAATGCCAGTTGCATAAAGTACAAATCATTGTAATTAAGTTTCCTAGAGGATATACACTTATGCGTTCAATTTTACATAATACTTTACGGCTGATGTACAATACAAAATTAATATTGTGTGCTTATGACTGGGAAATTCAGTGTTTAAGGACATAGTATGTTAAATGAAATTCATTTTTTTTACAGAAGTGTATACTGAAGGAGCAGCCTTAATTAATATTTTCAATGTTTGAGTTTAGAATACTGGTTCAGTTAAGCTGATCCAGTCTAACAAAATTTACTTGACAAGAAACTTTGGGGTTGAAAATCAAACCTGGAATGAAACTGTTGGGGAGTGTGATCTTTTTGTGCTTTAACCAGTCTAAAAGTGAGTTGTTCTCACTGAGTACACTCTTGTGTTTTGCTGTGACTTCTTCATTCCATTTCTCTACTGATCTGGCATTTGTAAAACATCCTTCTCTGGCCTCTTGATGTTTTGTAATCTGAACAGTTTGTTGCTATGGTTTAAGAATCCCTTCTTATTGGGAGGAAGAGTTTTACCTCTCCCTCATAAGGAACTTGCTGAACAGTTTCAGACTTGAATGTTTTCTCTGTCTTTATAATGTACAGGTTTATTTTTGTCAGATTTTGATATCTATATTCAATATTGGGCAACTTATGGTACTTCTATCATTAGATTAGTTCACAGTGGATCCTCAGTTTAGTATTTTAACCATTATTGTATGGGACTAGGGGATTTAAGCCCATGTGTTGTGGGGCTGCTGGCCAGACTAATTGTGGGTATAATGGTTTAGCAGTATGATAGTATGATGCACAGCCAGCTGGACTGCTTGTAAGCCATGATGCACTGTTGATAACTGTTGAAGTGCAAAGATTATGTAGGGTGGTTTTAATTGGAAATATGATTATGATGATATGGTTAGCAGAATGTGGTAAAAGTGAAGTTAGTCACTCTTGTCTCTCTTAAGATGACGTCTTAGTGTCCCCATGTGGAAACTGAGTGAAGCACAAAGGGCTCAGTCATGGTAGGCAGAAAGTACTTTCCAAGTAAAAGTCGGACGTGTTACAGCAGTGCTAAGAGGCACAGGCTGTCGGCAAGGAGCTGTCAGGAAGTCTGTCTCCGGCATTGCAGCTATGAGGATAATTAGATTTCCATGTTTATTCATTTTATCAGTTGGAAGATTTAAAGGCTTCTCAGAAGGTCAACTGATAGAACAAATGTGCTGGCTATTGCCTGAATTCTTTTTGACATGCAAACGATTTTTGAAATGAATACATTCCAGTTGTTGTGGTTTGTTGGTTATTATATTTATTATCACTGATATACAACATTTTTGTTTCCTAATGTATGACACGTGATTTCAATGTTATTTTATTGCTGATAAAAAATTTAAAAACAGAATTTTGCTATCCACAGATTTTTAAAAATATCCATAAAACGGTTTTTAATTATGGTTTCAGCTAGTGTTTAAAGAATTGTGTTGTTCATTCCTGTTTCTATCTTTTAGCTTAACTGAATGACATTAAAAAAATATAACATATAATTTCAAACTTATACGAGGTCTGTCCAAAAAGTATCCGACTATATTTTTTTCCACGGTAAGTAATGGCAAAAGGGTGGGGAAACTGAGCGTAGTGGTAGAAGGGACTTTCATGTGTACGCATGATTTTTTGCTTCCTCGCAGTACCGCTGGATGCGTCTGTCGCTGCCAGATAGCGAAGTGGTGTAACACGTGTTCGTCGCATTCTTGTTTCGCTCAAGATGACGGAACGCTTGGAGTAGCGATACTACATCAAGTTTTGTCAGAAACTTTGGGATACCCAAGCGGAAACAATCCGCAAAATTCAGCAGGCTTTCGGCGATGATGCAATGGGGGTCACTCAAATTAAAGAGTGGTTCAACCGCTTTAAAGATGGCCGCATGTCTGCGGACAGTGACCAGCGATCCGGGAGACCGTCAACGAGCCGAAATGCTGATGTCATTGACAAAGTGCGGACATTGATCATGGAGGACCGTCGTTTGACCGTCCGGGAAATTGCTGATGAGGTTGGGATCAGCAGAGGTTCTGCAAACACGATTTTAACTGAGGATTTGGTCATGCGAAGAGTGGCTGCAAAATTTGTGCCCAAACTGCTTTCGCCGGAGCAGCAACAACTCTGCCTTGAGGTAGCACAGGACATGCTGGAGTGCGCCAACAGGGATCCTGAGTTCCTGAAGACTGTGATCACTGGTGACGAGTTGGGGGTGTACGGATATGACCCGGAAACCAAGGTCCAGTTATCACAATGGAAGCATCCAACATCCCCGAGGCCCAAAAAAGCATGACAGGTTCAGAGCAATATGAAGGTGATATTGACTGTTTTTTTCGTTTACCGGGGTGTTGTGCATCATGAGTACGCACCACTAGGCCAAACTGTCAATAAGAAGTATTACCAAGAAGTCCTCCATCATCTTTGTGATGCAGTTCGGAGCAAGAGACCGGAGCTGTGGGACGCACGCAACTGGCAGCTGCATCATGACAATGCCCCCAGCTCATTCATCACACCTGATCCAGGGTTTCCTGGCCAAGCACGGCATTCCGCAGATTCGCCATTCTCCCTACTCACCTGACATGGCTCCTTGTGATTTCTGGCTGTTCCCGAGAATGAAGACACCGCTAAAAGGCTCCCGTTTTGACAGCCGCGAGGACATCATACAGAATGCGACGGCGCAGCTGCACACCGTTCCAAAATAAGCCTTCCAGAATTGCTTCCAGCGATGGAGGGAACGCTGGGCTAAGTGTGTGAGTCACAAGGGGCCTACTTTGAAGGGGATTAGGTATTGTAACCCCCAGATACAGAACTTTGTTTTTCTGACCCAAGGTCGGATACTTTTTGGACAGACCTTGTATGTTCTATCTGCAAGTGAGGGTTTGCACGACTTACAAAAACATGAAAAACCTGTTTGACAAAATTAACTACAACAAGCACTGTTGGAAAGTATGTGGTGACTTGGGAATTATAGCAATCTTGTTAGCCATGCAGGTTAGGATATACAAAGTGTTGCTGCTTCATATGCAAATGGATAGCCAAGCCATGGACAAGCACTGCTGGTGAAACATTGGAAAAAAAGTCAGAAACTGACCCTAGGTGAAAGAAATGTTGTTCACAGTCCCATAGTTGATGCTGCGAAAGTATTTTTACTGCCACTCTGTATGAAACTTGGTTTAGTAAAAAAAAATTGTCAAAGCTATGAAGCAGAAATTTCCCTCTTGAGTGAGGCAAAGATAAAAAAGGAAGGATTATTGTTGGCCCACAAATAAGGAAAATTACAACAGATAAAACTTTTCATTCTATATTTTGAATGAAGTTGAACTAGCAACTTGGACAGCATTTAAAGATGTTTGCAGCAATTTCTTAGGAAACAATAAAGCAGACAACTACCAGGAAATCGTGGAAAGACTCCTTCAGTCATGTGAAGCAATGGGATGCAACATGTCACAAAAGATTCACTTCTTACACTCACGTTTGGATTGCTTCCCACAAAATCTTGGTGCAGTTAGTGACGAACATGGAGAGCATTTTTACCAAGACATTTCATGGGAAGTGGAGTGTTAACATGCTGTCAGATTAATGCTCGAGTATTATCACGGATGTGCTTGAGACTAATTACAAATGGAAGTCATCAGCAAAAAAATGTTAAAATAAGTACATATTTATTATAATGTAATTTTGGATTCATGTATGAATAAAAATTGTGTATTTCGAATTACGTATATCTCTTTTAACTAAGGGCGATAGAAATATTCTGAAGATATATCTGTAAACAGCATAAAAAATAGTCCAGGAAGACATGTCTTACATAAGAAAACAATTTTAAAAAATTGTATATCAGTGTTATGTAAAGTAGCATGAAAAATTGTTGAGGTAAGTTCTGTTCATAGGTTTGTTTACACCTGCAATATTATCTGCCGTTTTGGTGAGTTATGTGCTCTAAGGAAACATATGAGCCCAAAGCAGCATTTGCTAAAGTAACAATTATTCATTCTATCAAAATGTTTAGCATTTTGTGGTGTGTAGTACTTTATTATATGCTAAACAGTTTCTTATAAAATTATTGAAGTTTGCCTTCTTTGTATCATTTTTGGAAGTTAGGTATCACAAACCATGGAGTCTCTGTCATTTTCCTGCTTTATTTGATAACACAGAGGAATACAAGTAAGATTCTCATGCAGTGTAACTAGTTTGTTAATTTTTCGGTACACGCAGAACATCAAGAAAACATTTCAGTCATAACCTGCACATTTTAGGGCACATTGACACTTGAAAATTTTTGTCTGGGGAGTTAAGAACACTAGTATGAATCCTTTAAACATTTACCCTTTTCACTTGTATGTGCAGTGGTGAGAATTCTCTCTGGTATAATGACAGCCATTCACCTCAAGATTAGAGCAAAACCAACTCCAGAAGATAGACCTTTGTCATTGTCCAGTATAATCTTGTTGGTGCATTGCCACTTGGCTTTTTAGAATCAAGACAAAATTGATTTTTTGATTGTCCATATATGCTTCTTCTTTTCCTGCATTACTCACAGAATGAGTAGTTGTTTTCAGTTAATGGATTTTAATTTGTGGATTATAATTTTGTATCCCCTTTATGTGAAGCAAAGTTTTGTGGGACACTTCTCTAATGGGTAGTCAGTTATATAATTATAAATGTATTATTTTTATTATGGTGCAAGGTAGAAATCTCGCCTGATTACAGTATCAATACCAGATTTAGCTGGTGGAACCTAAGGGGAAGGGATTGTGATCCCCCCCCCCAAAGTATTCGCCATGGGGTACCTCCCTATAAATAAATAAATTATGCACAGAATGTGATCTCGTGTATATCAATTGTCTTGTGCATCAACACCAATAGAAATAAAATATTTATATCTTAATTGCGTCATGTTTGTGTTATATCAATACATATTTATTTTTCCAGTCTATACACAAAACTTGTTTTAAAATAATGTTAAAATTATTTATAACATTTACAATATAAATTGCATTAAGTTATATTTTATGGCGCTTTTCTGTGTCGTATAATATTACAT